GACAGCGCTCCGCCGGAGAGCGGGGCCCGCCGGGCTCTTTGAGGATCTTTCCTGGCGTTTTGGTCCAAGAGCTGGGAAGGTTTTGTTGCTGCAAAAGGGGCAGAGGGACCGGCAGAGAGAGCGGGGGTCTTCCTGCAGACCGCGGAAAGCGGCGCCCATCGCCCGGGCGGTAACGGTCTCTGTCCCGCAGGTGATGCGAGGATGGCCATGGCCCAGGCTGGAGCCGCAGTTGCAGCTGCCACGGGACTCCTCGTCTTCCTCCTATACTCCTCCATCCACAGGGTTGAGGAGGGGCACCTGGCTGTGTATTACAGGTACCGTGCCCTGCCAGCGCCGCACCGCTTCTGCAGCCTTCCCTAAGCTCCCTTTCTCGGCTGGGGTTTGCCCCTGCCCCAGACCACCGCAGGAGGGGATTGCTGTCTCCTGCGTTTCCCTCCAGACTTTACCCCGAGGTGGGCAGGCCGTGTTGTTTCTGCTCTCGCACCAGAAGCGACGTGGGCCGGGGTAGCCTGGCTGTGTGCAGATCTTTCTGAATCCTCAGCTACTTCTTCCTCCCCTTTTCTGGGTCACAATGTGGATTTCAAAGCTTAGAGGACCAAAGCTTGGTCGGTCCAGTCTTTTCATGTCTGTTGATCTTTTTACAACAAGAGCTGTCACCTCTGTCCCAAGACTATCATCCAGCCATGCTTTGTTACTTTGAAATGGGTCTTCTTCCTGACTCTGTGCCGAGTTTCACCTGGGGCTCATAGCCACACTGAGTAGCATCTGCAAGCAACTCACTACCAGTCCACAATAGTGAGTGCTCATAGTGACTTCGTGCTGCCTCCTGACGAGATTTTACTTCCAATTTGAGTAAAGGAACAGAGAAATTCAGCACCAGCCTTCCTGTATTTTTTGCCATTTCTGCTATATTTCTGTCGTGTCTTTTCTACCTTTTGCATTTGCCACCGTGGGCCAGTTTTCTCTGAACTGCTCTTTCCTTTAATTAGGAGTGTGTTGAACAGCACACGCCCTTGCAGGATGCTGCAGGAGACCTTGCTGTACTATCAGGATCAATCGCTTGGAGCTCTCCTCTGTCTCCTGTCTTTTAACTACCTGTCAGTCCCCGCAAGAGACTGCGGGTTTTCTTTGTGCATTGGGTAAGGGACTGTGCCAAATACCGTGTGGAAATCCAAACTGGTGGTATCACATCAACTGCTGGATTTTTCCATGGTTACCAGTGAACTATTTAAAGAGGAAAATCTGTGTTCTTGAAGCTCTCTGCTTTGTTGTAATGTTGGAAGAATTTAGCAATATCTGCCTTTTCTAAAAGCTAATTGCTCACAGGACCGAGGTAAATGATAGTTGAGTTGCAGTAGTTTTGTAGGAGAATTGGTGGCAAATTTGGCACAGGCCAGTAACGTAATTTGCACTACCACAGCTGTGACTCCGGGCAGTTTGAATGTACTGACTCGCTCTTAAAGCCAGCACTTACTGTTTTCCAGTTGCTTGAGCCTTTTCCCCATTGTCCTTTCTCTGTGTAGGGGTGGTGCATTGTTAACTAGTCCGAGTGGACCAGGCTACCACATCATGCTCCCGTTCGTTACCACGTTCAAATCCGTGCAGGTTAGTACCTTCTCATCTTGGTAGAGGGTGAGTGGGAGTGGATGTCGATAGGGATGTTGCTGCATGGGAGTGACTTGGGCAACTGGTGTTTGCAGAGGGGCTCAGTTATGCAGTAGAGTAGCAGCTCCTAAGAAGCCCTTGGTTTCTTCTGCCTTAGGTGCCAGACCCAGCTGTGCTCTGGGACTTGTCCTTTAGGTGGAATCTTGACGACATGTGTACGTGTGCGTGTTGCTTGGGACAGGAGATGTCTTGCTCTGGGAGGACAGTCTGTGTTTGGCCCTAATTGTTTCCCAGGAGAACTGCAGGCCTTAGTGCTGCAGGATCTGAAAGCAAGGAAATGAGCACAGCTGCATTTCTGCCTCCCAAAAAGCAAGCTGAAAAGAAGTCTGTCTTCTACCCACACCTGCAAAAATCAGGAAGGAGGCAGAGGACACATTTTTGGCTCCGTGTTCCTGTGTAATGGTTGTGAGAGTTTGGGCACAGCAGGATCTTCGTGGAGAATGGAGAGGTTTTGTGAGTCCTGGTTGTCTTTTTTTATTTCAGACCACATTGCAGACTGATGAAGTGAAAAATGTGCCTTGTGGGACAAGGTAGGTTTTTCCTTTGTATTTCTTCTGGTGATTAGCAGATGCACTCTATCATGTAGTTTGCAGCTAGTCATTTACAGTGCTGTGACACAGAGGCTGAAAAGTAAAGGCACATACTCTAAAATTAGTCCCAAACACACGTATACATAACACTTGGAAATAATAGAGCTGGAGGTATGGGAGGGAATGCTCTTACTTTTCCTGAAACTGATGTTCAGAGGATATTTGCATTTATAGTGATAGTCTCTTGATTTTTCTTGGATTTTTCCCTTGGTTACTCCGATAGTCTGTTGCTTGTGCTTTGGTCTGCTCTGTGCTTTGCGGTATTTCTAGTCTGAATCTTATGGCTAATACAAGTGTTCGCCCGAGCAGTGGGCAAAACTGAATGGTGAATGGGAATCCTCCTGATGGTTCATTTCAAAAACAGCTCAAGAAAATGAGTTTCAGAATTGTTTGGGCATTTTTGGAATTGACATTTCACCTGACATAAAGAGAGAGTGAGAAGGAATAAAGAAGAATCTTATGCATGGGTGGCACCTGCCAGCTTAATTAGCACAATTAAGCTGATCCTTTTGTCAGCATATATCTGTATAGTTTTACCAAGCAGAGCAGTAACAGAAGGAAAGGGCTAGTTGAGCTGGGCTGCAGATCCTGTTGTGTTCATTCACTCGCAAGTTAAAGTGATGACCGAATCTGTTTCTTCAGGATAAAAACGGAACTGGTGATTTTCCTTGTCTTTTAGCTTTAGGGTACTCAACAATATTTCTGTTTTAAAAAAAAAAAAAAAAGTATGACTGGAATGATGACACATAACAGCCACGCTGAAATTAAAAGTTGAATGTTAGTGGCAGCGTTAATGAGGCAGAGTTAATTTTGATCTTGTTTAACCCTTATTGAAATCAGTTCTTGGAATTATTCCTATAGCAACTCATCAGACATCCCTTGGGCTTAAATATTAACATAAAGTTCTCAGGGGCCCCAGCTGGTTTTACTTTTAGATCTCAAACTTTTTTCAGGAGTGTCTGTAAATAATGCTAATGTTCAGTGCTGTAGCCAGGGCTTTGTGGTCAGGTGAAGAGTCTTTAGGTCAAGCAAAAAGTGATTGCAAGAAGGAGTAAGACTCATTATGTTCTATATCCATATCTTTTAAATGGCACAGTTAAAAATAAGCCATCATTAGCAATGTGTTTAATGGCAACTTCTAGCTTATAAGTAGCATAAATAGGATTAATATTTCACCTGCTGGATGTTGTAAAAGAGCATCACCTCTCTGGGCCGGGGATGCTGTCCTGCTGTCCTGCAAGCCTTCTCAACAGACGAAGCAAAGCTTTCTGCTGAAGCTTAACCACGTTATACATGCTAACACAGTCAAAATTAAACTGCTGGTTTGACCCTGCTTGAGCAGGGAGGTTGAACACGATGACCTCCAGAGGTCCCTGCAGCCTTGATCATTCTGTGATTTAGGAGCTAAATATTCTGTTTAATTCTGTATAGTTAGTTCACTAAGTTCCTGTTACATTTCAGCATTGCAGGATTCAGTTGTGCAATACAGGTGGCTGTGAAGTTACAGGTAATAAACAAGCTTTAAAACACCAAACAGCTGGTGAAGCAGTTCTTAGTTAATAATTGACTACACTTTAGACCAAAGGTCCCAGTAGCCCTGGCCATTTTTAAGGTGTTACTGCAGGAGCCTTTAAATTTGCTGCATTTGGAATCAAAGTCTGCAGCTGCTCCATGCCAAAGCTTTGAATCCACATTTCAATAATAAAACATTAGCTTATAAATAAAAAATGCATCAAATCTGAAATTTCACTATCCCATTTCAAAGTTCGTTACAAGAATAGATCCTAAACAGTTTAAATTTCTGTAATTGTATATTAAACCATCAGATTTTAAAGGCTGGGTTTCTCTCCCACCACATTCATATTCCCGTTCCCTGTATCCTCATCTACATTAGGAAGCTTCTGAATGGCTGTGTGGGTGTCCCATCCCCAATTTCTGCCTTACCTGTCCCATTTATACTTGACAGCATTAAGTGAATACATTAAATACAGATTTTCAAATACTTTGGCACCAGATACCTTTTTTTCATAAAACAGCTGTTGCTCCAGAGACAAAAACCATTTCATTACAGCAGGTAGAATATATACCTGCTCCAAGCTGTGAACTGGCTCTGGTGTCTGAGATTTCTGGCTTTACCCAACAAGAAAAATGTGTGCACAGTTCCTTGGAAAGTTCAGCAGTTTCCTCAGGGCAGGTCTGCTGATCTCCAAAAACTGATGGAAAATCAGGTCAATAAACTAGTTTTAGAAGAGCAAAGTATTCTAAAGGACTGACTGGAAGAATTAATCAAGAATTAAAATACAAGTATATTAATTCTGGAATACAATAAATGGGTTGAAAATTATGTCATGCAAATATTGCCCAAAAGAATTGGGTAAGTAGTATCTTTCTTACAGACTTAACTGGAAAGAATCATTCTAAATACTGTACGGGTTTTTGCAATGCCAAGAAACAGTAAATAGCGAGGATGCTAAGCAGTAATATTACTCAAGCATTAGATGTTTTTTTGCAAAGGTGCGAGAGTCGTCTTGTGCTTCTGCTGTAGATCATTGGTAGAAACGCAGATGGAACACTGGAGGAATGCTGTTCTGGGACACATCCCTGTTTGGTAGCCAGTCACATGGAAAAATGTGTCATGAATATTGCAAGCAGATGTGTTGCATTAAGCCATGTATCTCTAGACAGACCAGATCTGACCCTTAAGCCCAATTTTTACATGCTTTGAGTGCCTAACCTGGTCTGGTCTGGTTTGTGGTCATCCCTAGCAATAAGCATTAAACCTTCGCCCTTTTTTACGGCCCCTTTTTTATGGCAACGTCCTTCAGTTTTGTCCTTGTCTTCTCCTGGCCTGACATAAGCTAAAATCCTGAAATGTATGAGGCTTTCTAAGGTCTGCTGATATGCCTGCTAGTGTATGTTAGTCCCCTGTACACTTTCACCTTGTCCTGTAAAGTTAGGCACTATTGCTTCTCGCAGGTGCACATAGTCTACACGTTGATCCTGCTTTCAGACTTCCTATGGATTTCTTCTTGTTCCTCTCGCCCCAGCCAAAGAGCCTGCTTAACTCAGTGCTGCTCTGCCTGACCAGCCTCATGAGCAGCTCTTCAGTCAGGACTTTGGGTGCTACGAGTAGCCCTTGCAGAGGCTGCGAATGCCAGTGTTAGAAAGGCTGTGGAAACTGCAGTGGAGAGTTGCATGCACTGGAAATCTCCCCATGGGAGTCACCCTGCCTTACATCTGGCAAGAAGCAGGCTTTGGCAAATGCGGATGTTTTGAGACTGGTAGTGGCTCACTGAAATGAAAGAGCACTGCATGTAAGCCGTAAGTGTCAAAGGGCGAGTAAAGGAGCTGTGGATGATGAGAGAATCACTTCCAGGTCAACAACGTGTGTGAATTACCCCAAATCAGTGCATGATGCTCTGCCAGAACAACTGTCTCGAAACTGCCCAGGACAGTACCTTGGGCACCTCAGGAGTTTACATTTTCTGGACCAGGGTGTTTAGGAGAATGTCTTGTCTGAGATGCTCACTTTAAGATCAGAGAGTTACAGTTCAGTTTGGCTCCTGGGTTTACAGCAGCAAGGGCCAGAGGGTATCCCCACTGCACAAGATGAAATGACGATGGCTCCCGCAGCTGGTTGGATGGCTGTATGGAAGGAAAACACAGTCCTAGTCCTTTGTAGGCTTGGTTTAACCTTAAGCCCTCAGTGGGGAAATAGGTGGCGAGTGTATTTGGGCTCTGAGTGGCATGTGTTTCCTTGAAACCATTGCCTGACCAACAGGACTGATGTAATTCACTTATCCCCCTGTTGACCCACGCATGTTGAGATCCTTGGCAGGGTTGCTGTGGGTAGTGTTCGTTGAGTCAGACGGGCAGCAGGCAGTTCTCTCTGGTCTGAGGTGCCAGCGTTTCTTGCACATGAGGTGATGAGGGGCTGTGAATGAGTTCTGGTAGAAGGTAGATTGTCTCAGGTGCTCTCTTTTTCCTTCTAACATCCCCATAAAATTGAAATGCCAAAAGGACCTCAACATAAGGATGTGCAGTGGAGGAGATTCTGCTGGAAGAAGCCCATGCATTCTGCTTTGGTTCCTCTCCAAGATATCTAGAAGATACCCTAAGGTGGTAGCTGCGTTTCCCTGTCCTGATGGAGATATAAGGTGATTGGAACAAATCAGGAGGATGAAAGCAGATTCAGAAGATTATGAGGAATGCTGTTGGATGTCACTTGCAATGATAAATAGTCATTTTATTGGATGTGGTGGGACAAAGTGCAGAACAGATGAGATGGAGAAAAACACATATAATTCCGTTATAACTGCTTGTGCAGCCTGACATACCTATAAAGGATCCATAAGCCTATCTTATTTAAAAATAATAGTAACAGCTCTTAAGAGAGAGACAGTAAGAATGACCATGGCCTAAAGAGAAATTTTGAGTGAAAAAGAGATTAATACTCTTAACAGTAGTATCTCACTGGGAAATATGTCTCTCTTTAGCCACAAATATCTTTTCTGTTGGCTTGTCCCTCCTAGCAGGACACGTTCAGTCATCACCAGTGTTGTTTAGCTCGTAGCTTGCCATGAAGCAGCCAGGTTTGCAGACCAAACACAAGCTGTGCCCGGGAGATCTTTTCTAAGAGCACAGATATGGGCAGGTTCAGATGATTTTTCTGCAGACTTAGCTTTCAACTGCCAGAGATTAAGATCTGCAAAATGAGAAACAGAGTTTGTCTGTTGAGTTAAAACACCACAGAGACTAAGTTTGGGAACGCGTGAGGTCGTCTTCTGGGGATCAGCTGTCTCTAAACGGTTTCTGCTAAAGCTTCTTGTTTGTGATTTGCCTTTGCCCCGAGGACAAAATTGCAAGAGCACTTTAAAAATACACTCTTGAGAGACTTGTGAGCTGTTGAAAATCAAGGTTTTTTTCTTCACTGTAGAGTTAGTGCTTTTCCCTGGTGCCACAGGTTCCCAGGGATGGGTATGACCTGCTGAAAGCCACATCAGTAAGAGTGGAGGCTGGGATCAAGACTTCTCTCTGATTCCCTCTTTTCGCTACCGGTCTGGCAGCACATGGTCCCTTGGGAAGAGGACTGCCTACAGGCTTCTTCCGATGAGGTGTCTGGAGCTTCTTGACAGTGCACATACCTGGGCACGTGTGCACAGTTGCAGTGTTACTGGAGAGCTGTTTGCAACATGACATTGATGCAGGGAACGTGAAGTAAAGTCTGCTACGTGCTTTGTTTCTTCCTTTCTAACAGGAGCCTTGTCACGTTCCTGCTGGAGTTAGTAAATGCATGAACTTAAACAAAGGACTTTTCTATTTAAAATGTATTTGTGGCCTAGAAGAGCTGCAGTGTGTCTGCAGTTTGCGTCTGCTCTGCTGCTCGCAGGTGTCATCTGCTGTCCTTATCGCCTTCCCTTCATTGTGTTGGACTCCCCCTTTCTGATAGTTGCAGCTACATTCCTGTTCAAAAGCCTTTTCCTGTTGCTGGATAAGCAGTAGATAAAAAAGTGAAGCAAAAGTGCTTTGCAGACTTGCTGGAGCACGCTTTGATTTATGCAGAGAGAGGGACCAGTCTGTACAAAGCTGGGGTTTGCTGCCATCTAATTGCAAAATGCTGAAGAAGTCGGAATTGTTCTGGGTAAGTTTAATAGAATTTAGTAAAGGCGGGAAAAAGACGACTTTGCTTTAAATATGGACCACCGTTAACAGTTGCAGTACTAATTAATGAATTCTGTTTTTCACTGACAGTGGCGGTGTTATGATCTACATTGACCGAATAGAAGTTGTGAATAAATTGGCACCGTATGCAGGTATTTCCCATCCTCGTTCAGCAAGCAGTGCTGTGACTGTCTTCGCTCATCCTGTAGCCGCTGTATCTTGGTTTGCAAGACTTCAATTTTCTCTGTCATGTTATCCTTCTGGTTCCCAGTACCATAGCACTTAGTTTCATGGATGTGTCTGCAAGCTTTACAAAGAGCCACAGATTTGCAAAGATGAAGATAAATTCTAGGATTGCTTCTCCCCTGTACATTTAGAAATGTGATGGGTGCTCAAGCAGTCCTATTTCTTGCTGCTGAAGGGGAGACCACCTGTGAAACTAAATACATGGGATGAAGCCCTCAGGTGCTTGCCACCTCAGCTCCTGCGAAAATTACAAAGGCAAAGCCTGCATAGAGCCTCTTACCTTCTTATTTCACCAGCTGCCAAATCAAAGACACACGGGTTTTTTGTTTTTTTTTTTTTTTTTCAGGAGCATAGCTTAATGCAAAATGCTGGCATTACTGGGGTGTTGAAGGGTAAATTCATGTTATAATTGTGGGAATGATACTTGTTCTCGCTTTATAGTAGTATCTGTTCCTATGCATGCAGGTCCTGGACAGGCTTTACTGTTCCATTTGTTTATGCAGATCATAAAACAGGACTATGCAGTGTATCTTGCTGTAATTACTCAGCTCTTTGAAGTCATGTAATCCCAGCAGCACTGTTGGATGGGACCTCTGCAGGTTTCTCCTCTGACCTCCCTCCCACTCACAGCAGGCTTCTGACTAACAGCTGGGTGGGGCAGCTGTGGCTTTGTCCAGCCAAGTCCTGAAAACTCCCAAGGAGGGAGATCCCCCACTCACCTGTCCCAGTGCTGCACTACTTTCCTAATACCCTGATATGTTGTTTTGTGGTTGTGGCATTGCAGAAAGCAGTACATATCCGTGGTGACCTGTGATAATTCCCTTACCTCCTCAGTGTATGATATTGTGAGAAACTACACTGCAGACTACGATAAGACCTTGATCTTCAATAAAATTCACCATGAGCTGAATCAGTTCTGCAGTGCCCATACTCTCCAGGAAGTATACATTGAGCTGTTTGGTAAGTGGATGGCAGCTGGATGCACCCACCAAGGGCTGTGTAATCTCCCTGTTCTACTGTTACAGCAGGCTCCTGTGAGCAAACAGTCTCTGTGCTGGAGTTGCAAATCTAGAATCCAGCTCCTTATATATCCGTATGTCACTTCCCATATAACTTTACTCTTTAATGATTCGGATTTCTTTGTCTGTCCACATCTGCACGTGAGAATCTGATTTCAGTCCTTTTCCACTTAGGACTGAATTCTGGACACACAAGGTAGCCACTTGTGCATGCAGTCATATGCCCATTGCCTTCACTAATAACGATGCTTGTGTCTTGTTCTACTTTTAGGCCCCTGTTCTGTTGCCAAATTTACTTTTTTTACTTTAAAAGCTTCCTTCTGGCTGTTTTTAGCAAGTGAGAGCCGGAACGGACATGATCTCAGTTCATTGCAATGCTCCAGTATTTTCGCAAGGGGGTAGCAGTGGTTTAGGAAATAGCAATTTAACGTTCTGTTTCTTGGTACCTACCTGTGCCCCCAAAGGCATAACAGCATCACGTTCCTGCTTGAATGGAAGAGCAGGGGAAAATGGATTTATGGAAGGTTGTCAGAGTTTTAATATTAAGAAACTGTCAATCTTTGAATGCTGTACTCGGACTTGCCAAATACTCGTAGTGAGGGGAGAGTTTCCTGATAGTATAGCTTAATCCCTTCATAACTGGCCATTTCTGTGAAAAGATTGTCCTGGAGCTTGGAAGTGACAAAATGCATTTTTTTCAGTAGCAAGTACTGGATCCTGCAGGTCCCTAGAGCCTTAGGCAGCAGAGTTGGTGTGGCTCAGGCTAGGAATAGCTAGACTTCTACTGCAGGCTCTGGGTGCTTTTTCTTGCTGAGATGCTGAAAGCCATTTGCCCTCAGCTCAGATACCAGCAGTTCATCAATAGCTGAACCTTTCTAGAGACACTAGTGTATGGTGCACCTCTTGGGAACATTTTCCAGGGGGTATAGGAAGGGAAACAATGTACTGAGTGACCTCAGAAAGCATCCTTGTCTTGCACCATAGAGATACCTGCTCTTCAAGGCCAGATGAGACTCTGCCACACAAGCTTTAGGAGAACTGATGGTAAGCTAAGTGGTCTCTCTCTTGTCCTCCAAACACAGATCAGATAGATGAGAATCTGAAGTTGGCCCTGCAGAAAGATCTCAATGTCATGGCACCAGGTCTCACTATCCAGGTAGGTTCATTCCCTAACAAAGATTATTCTTTTTTCCATCTCTAATTTGCTTACCTTTCACTAGACTGGTGAGGTTTCCTGCTTTGGTTTTCCACGTAACGTGAAATAGTTGAGCTTGAGTTGAGGTTTGTCAGTTGAAGACTGTCCATACAACAATGACCACTTCAAAATGCTCATTTTATGTTAGGGGAAGGCCTGCAAGACCTATAGATATTGGATTTAATTTGCAAAGAGCAAGAAAATTTTTTTTCTTTACCTTTGGCACCCCTGCAGAGCTGCGTGCTCCAGTGTGCCAGCGCAGTTCCTACAGGTAATTGCAAAAGAAAAGAGATCTTCATCTTTTCTGCGCTTGCACCAGAGGAAGGGAAAGATGTTATATCTTAAGTGATTTTCTGCCTACTGTTAGAAACCCTTTCTGTTAGAAAATTATTTTTAATCTTAGCTGGGCTGTGGGACATACTGGCTTTGTGGCATGTTGAATTTCAGGGCAACCAACTGGGAAAAATATACCTTAGGCTCACAAGGGCTAAGATGGAAATCACTGGAGATTTCTACTGTAGGGAAGAGTGAGACCAAATCTGTTTTGCTGTTCACATTTGCTGTCACATTTAGCTAGGCTGGCTGTGTGCAGGGAGGGAGAGTCTCCCGTTGACAGCATGTGAAATACTATGATAAATGCTGTTCTGCTTTGCAGCTCATTTGTGCATAGGCTTACTCTGTTTTGATGAGGATGAACCACAGACAGTGTCTTATCACAGAGAAGTTGAGATGGCACCATTCTTCCAAATATCCAAGTTAACTTGCACTGTATGTTGCAGAGAGATTTCCTGCAAAAGTTCATCATCAATCAAAATTATCGTCATAATGTAAAGGGCCTGTTTGATCTCGGGGATGGAAGTGCGTAACCAAAGCTCACAGCTCTGCTGGGAGATGTTAAATACAGAGCTAAATCTGATCTTCAGCATACGCTATCTCCCAATGCCTTAACATTTGATTACTAACAATATTGACAGTGCACAGTAGTGTAGATTTCATCATTAAATAGATTGAGCCATTGGCTTGACAAAGAAGCAGCTAGTGGAGGTTTTCAAAGACCTGGCGGCTTTCCTGATTACAGAGGAAGTTTTGCCCATGTTGAAAAAGCCATGCTTCCGGAAACCAATCTTTGTTTTGGTGCAGGGGGTATTATGGAGGTAGAAAGAATATCCTTCTGTGTACCCTGCAGTGGCTGATGAGGTGGGCTTTCTACATGCGGTAACTTTCTAGGGACTTGGTAGCTTAGAAAAATCCTTTCACTGAAGGCTATTCTGATCTGATGTCCCACAAATCTGTTTGCTTGTTCAGAGAAACAGCAGAGTTGGGGTTGTTAAGCCTGGAGAAGAGGAGGTTCCGGGGAGACCTTATTGCAGCTTTTCGATGTATAAAGAGGGCTTTTTACCAAGGCCTGTAGTACATTACAAGGGATAATGATTTTAAACTGAGAGTGGGTTTAGACTGGATATAAGGAAGAAATCTTTTACAGTAAGAATGGTGAGACAGTGGAACAGCTTGCCTAGAGAAGTTGTGAATGCCCCATCACTGGAAGTGTTCAAGGTCAGGTTGGATGGGGCTCTGAGCAACCTGATGTAGTGGAAGATGTCCCTGCCCATGGCAGGAGGGGCTTGAACTGGATGATCTTGGAAGGTCCCTTCCAACCCAAACCATTCTGTGATTCCCAAGTGTCCTGCTTTGGTGACAGGCTGGCTCCTCCCCAGGCAGGGTGTGTTTGCCAGGGCCAGGGTGCCGGTCACATGGAAGTGGTTCCCTATTTGCACTGCATACAAAGACTTCCTTGGACATGTCCATATTCCATTCCCCTCTGTGGAAGCCCTTGGTTCTTTGCAGACTTGCTGACCCCAGAGAGAAGCAGCAGGTTGAGCACTAGATCTACAGTGGAGATGGAGCAGGAGGGTTGTCAAACTGTACAGCCATGGACTGTCAATCCGCATCTTCCAAAGGTCACTAATGAGCCACACAACATGCCAGCTGAGCAGCAGTAGCTTCTGGTCCTGCCTCTGGAGGTGTTTCCCTCATATTTCAGAGAGACTCCTCCACAGAGCAGTTTAGCGGTGGTCTCTGGCATGTACCTGAGTTGTGGTGTCAGCATCGGCATGCACATCACTCTCGATCATCCGCAGTTGCAAACAACAGCTGCCACCTGTGTCCTGCTGCTCTCTCCTGTCTTCACTGCTGTGTCTCTCATTGTGTTGTCGCTTTTACAAGCGTGTCTCCTGGAAAACCCATTCCTGAGCTTGTAGCCCTGCATCTGTTCTGCAAGTCTCGCTCCTGCAATTTAGCTTCATTGGGTTTGTGAGCCCTTTTCTTGAGCCGTGCTTTGGGAAATGTTGTCTGGTGATGTTTTAAGTCTTTGGGGTGGAGAACTAAGCTTCTTCTAATAAAGGTGGTGGACCTCTTTAGCAGTCCATTCCATGGGCCTTACTTGATCACATAGATGCCATAAAAGGTGCAAAGACAGGAAATACAAATGTAAGGCACCTCTGTGAGAGTGGCTGTGCTCCGCTGTGGTGTACAAGAGGATTGGGAACCATTATGTGTGGCCTTGGATCAATGTGGAGGTTTTCAGAGCAGAGGTTTTGCAAATGCATTTCTTAGTTATGCAGCTCACATCCAAACACTTAATTTCAAATGTTCTCACTTTCTTTTTTCATAGGCTGTGCGTGTTACAAAACCCAAAATCCCAGAAGCCATCCGAAGAAATTTTGAGCTAATGTGAGTAGCTGTCCATAAAATTGTATGAATGGATTTTGAGGGTCCAGCACAGGCATAATGCTATTAGGAATCTCTTACCTGGTGCTCAGGTGAGAGATGAGTTCTAGTCACTATGTGCTTGGATAGGTGCACTTGTGCATTTTGTTTCTTCATTTCCGTAGCTCTTTCACCTTGAAGCCTTTCAACCCTTCACAAAGACGGTTTTTAGCATGCACAGAGTCCATATCAAGGCTGTGTTTCTATGCCTTTTTAGGGGGGACACTGATGTGCTATAGAAAACCTGTAGAAGACCTGTAAACTGAATTAAGAGGCTTAAGGGTCTTGATGTCTCACCCATAAGCTCCCCTCCAGCAAACTCACAGAACTGTAGACAGATTTCAGTTTGACACATTCCTGTGGAGATCTCCTGCCCAAGCCCTTTCCCAAAGCAGAGCCAGGTCCACAGCTGCTGGAGGTCGCTGGGGGCTGTGTCTGGGTGCGTCGGGGCACCCCCGGGGATGGGGATCTCCCGCCATGTGCGGCCCTGTCCTAGGGTTGCCCTGCTCGCAGGGGGATGGGCTATTTCCTTGGGGCCGGCTGCGGTTTCCTGTGCTGCAGCTGTGCTGGAGCCTCTGGGGCTCTCACTGTGACCCTCTGAGCAGAGCCCAGCCCCAGCACCTCTGGGACCCCTTTGGGCAGGGGGAGATGCCATTGGGTCAAGCTGAGCACGCCCAGCTCCCCAGCCTCTCCTTGTACACTCTCCACCCCACATCTGCAGTAGCCCTGCACTGGACTTGCTTCTTGTTCTGAGGGCCTCAAACTGTATGTAGCGTCCAGATGTGGCCTCACCAGAGCCAAACAGAGAAGCGGAATAATCTATTCCTTTGACATGCTGGCTACGCATGTGCTCATACAGCTGAAGACAGAGCTAGTCCTCGTGGCTGTGAGGCCATGATGCTGGCAACTGGTCAGCTTCTTGTACCACTCACCTTTCATGCCCTGGTTTGCAGAGCTGCTTCCCAGTTCCATTTCCCTGTGATATCATTTTTCACTCTGCAGGGAGGCTGAGAAGACCAAGCTGCTGATCGCAGCTCAGAAGCAGAAAGTAGTAGAGAAGGAGGCAGAGACAGACCGGAAGAAAGCACTCATTGGTATGTCACCAGCTGGGAGTACCAGCAGACAGGGGCCAGATTGAATTTCCATTCCTACATCCCCCAGTAAGCTGGGGTAGGATGTTGTTTTGTGTCACTGACAGCTCCCTGAGGGAGGCACGGCCAGGCTGCACCAACAGTCGTTTAGAAAATACGAGTGTTTGTGCTGCTGTATCTATGTCCCTCCTCCCACCCCATAGTAGTAGAGCAGCAAACATCTCTCTCCTACAGCAGGGCTCCTACTACAGCAGGCCAAGAGGCAACAGCTCTGCTAAATGTCTCTGTGACTGGGGGACTCGCACTTGTAAAAGGGCTCTCAGCCAGTGCAACTCTAGAAACATCAGCACTGTGTTTTCTCTCTGTCACTGTATTGCTTGAGTACAAACTGGCACTGTAGGATCTGAGCAGAAAGGGAGGCAGCAGAGAGCAAACTACTTGCATGGCAGATTCTTCAACCACGTGCTGTCGTCAGGGTGCTGGTGCTCAAGCCCTGAGAAGTGAACGCCTGAGCTGAGCCTATTGTGATTGCAGAGGCAGAGAAAGCTGCTCAGGTGGCCAGGATTCACTATCAACAGAAGATTATGGAGAAGGAAACAGAGAAGCGAATTTCTGAGATTGAAGGTAACCATGGTGCTAGCATGCTGCTGGGGTTGTCTTCCAGCTAAGGGTGGTGGCAGGTAGTGGAACCTCAGAACTGGGCTGATAGGCATCACCATTCTGCAAAAATAATAAAGGGTGCAGTATACCGGGGTCATTCCTCCCCTTTGCAGGTACATCTCCAAGAAGTCAGCAGTGCAGGTACACAGCGAGCCGGCCTGTGTCATGAGCACACCTGGGTCAGCTAGTCCCCATGGGACAAAGGCTCAGGTGCTTTTTTGTGTGTGATGTGTGATGTGGCTGTTCACTTGCTAACGTTCCTTTTCCTGTCTGACCTCTGTTGCTGTGTTAGATGCTGCGTTCCTAGCAAGAGAGAAAGCAAAAGCTGATGCAGAATACTACACTGCTCGGAAGCTGGCTGATTCCAACAAGGTGAGCACTTGAAAGCTGGTCAGAAGAGGACTTTTCCTCTGTACAGATTAGGTTCAGGTGGGCAGCACTGGAAAAACATTTGATTTAACAGCACACATCCCAGGAAGCAGCTGCCTGAGATGAAATCTAATGATGCAGGGCCCAGAAGTCTGTCTGTTATGGTCTCTGGTTTCTCTTTTTGTAGCTGAAGCTTACCCCTGAGTATCTGGAACTAATGAAATACCAAGCGATAGCTGCAAACAGCAAGCTGTATTTTGGTGACCGCATCCCCAACGTGTTTCTGGATTCCTGTGCTTTCCAGCAAGCCAATCTGAGGACTGCCCAAGAAACCAGCCTTCCATCACAGGAGGCCCCAGAGACCTCTGGAGAAAGCCACCTCAGAGCAAAGGAAAGCACTGGCTGACAGAGGTAGAGAGATACCCGGTATAGCTCAACAGCTAGCCCAGCTGTGAATGGGGATGTTGCCCTGTGCTGGTGGGGCGGATGCAGCGCATGCATGGACATCTTGTGTATAGGTGGCAGTTGGGTTGATTTTCTTCTAGCAACACATTGCAAGTGCTCTGCCTCTTCTGTTTCTTCCCCTATTAAATTGGTGCTTCCAAATGAGGGATAATCCTGTACTAACATACCTATACTGGAATATTAAAAGACACACCAGGAAAGCCTTCTGCAGTAGGTGCAATTATTTAGCAAGCATTACTCTGGAAGTAGGAGATGTGGCTTTGAGTGCTATGTTGCTGCACACTGGTCATTCCCCAGTGCTCCTCGCTGAGGCCAAGCGAAGAGGTTTCCTTCGACCTGCCGATGAAGCTTTGCCTTGTGGACTCTGCAGCAGGTTTCTACTGGTGCTATCAGCTCTCCTCAAGGACTCTGGAGTGGGCTCTCCTTGGCCAGTGGAGGCTGCATGTTCCTGCTCAGGGCGAGGCCTGACGAGGAGTGGTTTGGTGCGGAATAGGTTATTTGAATAGGATCTGCATAGCCATAATCTTCTTCTTTCCTGTGGGCAGTGACACTAGATAACAACTCGGAGCAAGCAATCTCTAATGGGCTTCTGTAACCCCCTCTCCAAGCAAGAGCCTCACACTGGCTGCCTGTGACTGACTGTAGTACATTTCAGCTGGGTGGCTGGGTCTCACCTTGCACCCTAAACCAGATTTCAGAGAGCATGGAGCACCTCCGGGCAGCTGGTTGGGAACAGAGCTGGGAAATCTTTGCTCAGACCTCAGCCTCCCTGTAGGTCTTTTCACCAGCGAAAGAGGACCCAATTTCCACTGCTCTGCCTTGCTGGCAAAGTGAAGGGGAAGAGAAGAGTGAAGGGACCCTGCTCTGCAGCAATTCAGATGTTTGACACCTCAGCCGCAAAATAGGTGAGGCATCACTGCTCCCCTCTGCAAAATCCACTGTTCCAAGAAAAAGTGGGACCTGCCTCATGCATCCTTGAACAGCTGCAGCGGGGAGTCTGTCACTGGTCCTCTCGTCACTGGCCAGGCTTTGCTGTGTTGCAGGGCTTTTGACTCACAAGCGGTGCTGGCAGGATGATCTTTTGTCCTGGTATGTGTTGTAATATATCCAACCCCTGCTCTCCGTGTGCTACTGCAGGGTGACAGAAAGAGATGTGCTTTGGGGGGAAGCCTGCTGATGCGATCTGCTTTCCTATTTTATTCTGTCCTCCCCTTTGCCTGTGAGGACATGCTTGTTTCTAGGACCAGTTTCTCATCGTGTTCTGCAGCGATCCCAGGAGATGATGGCTGGGGAAGCAACTGGCAAGAGCTTGAGCTGGAATGCCATTCCCCAGCTGGTAGCACCGCAGCATTTCCTACCTCTGAACTCACTACATGTTCAGAGACTGCCACTCCTTTGCCAGCCTGTGTTATCTGCACCTTCATCCTGCTTTCCTGTCCCCGCGGGTGCAGCCCTGTGCAGCACTCATCCCTGGTGTAGTTCACCGGATGGGCCGGTTGGTGCTGGCATTGAGATCTTCTGTCTCTGGCACCAGCTGCAGCGTCATGACAAGGGTCAGAACATGCTTAGCTTTTGCCTTGGTGAAACGTTCAACCCAGAACAAATGGCCTGAACTTCACTTTCGCTAATTTCTCCCAAGGAGTTGTGTGGACTTCAGGCTTTCCAGTGCTGCTTTGCTATCCTGTGTGGCTCGACTCAGAGGATGGCAGTGTCTCTCCTCAAGGAAGTTTGGTAGCATACAGTGCCTTACACTGTCTCAGCCCCTGTCCTGGCTGCTTCTCCTCCATCTCTGGGGCAGAGCAGGGATGCGTTGACCCTGCCTCTCCTGCTGCTGCTGCTGGCCTGCTTGGGTAATACGTGACTGTGAGACTTCGCAGCAGTTTCAGGTGGTCTTTCCTCCATCTGTCTGCAAATTCCCAGGGCCCAGTTGGTGCTCTGCTCCAGGATACCAGCTCCTCTTCAAACCCAGCGGTGACAGGAGCTGGGGACCAGGACCCTTCCCCAGGCCAGCTGAAGGTGCTGAGCACCAATCCCAGCTTCCAGGGATGTCATGGGTGAGCGTCGTTCCTCATGCTCTCAGGATGAGAGGGAGGGTACTGCTGTTGCCAGGAGGAGAGGTTTCTCCAGTTTTTGCTCTTAAGACACCTGGCACACAAGGGTTGTGGCACAGCCATGTGCGTTCCAGATCCCAGGCTGGGAAGCACTAAGCTGAGGTTTTGCATGGGGGTGCTCATGTCTTCACCTGCCGAAGGTGGGCAAACAGTGCCCTCCTGGCGAAGAGCAACCTTCGAAGGACACTGGTGGGCAGAGGAGCAGGAAGGACATCTGTGTGTCATGCTGAAGGCAGCTCAGCCAGCAGGCTGGACAGAGCTGAAACCCATGGCAGGAGAGTGGGCAGGCACAGCATTATCCCCGTGAGACCCTGCAGTACCTTCCTCACAGGAATGGTACCAGGGCAGAGGGGATGGCAGCGTATTTCCTAGCTGTGGTGTTTGAAATGTCTCTTGGAAGTACTGTTTGACTTGCAAGGTCCCATTTCTCTTGTGGGAAGGGCTTTGAGGAGCCAGTAGAGTCACACCTCTTTGACCCTCCACCTCCTTGGTGTGGCTGGCTTGCAGCAGCCACTTTGGTTGAATTTTGAGACAAAGACAGGCTTTTTGGAACAGAAGCACTCCTGGAGGAGATGTAGACTTTGTCTCCATGTAGTACTCACTGGGGTTGGGCACTACCCAGTGCTGGCATCAAATCCTGGGCATCAAAACCCAAACCCTGGGTGGACAGGGTACGTTCTGCCAGCCTGGAGATGACAAGAAGTAAGGGCACGAGGGGAACCACTAGAAGCAATAACCAGGCAGCTCACAGCTCTCCTGCAGTGATCAGAGTGAGATCCCAGTGCGGGGAGCAGGAAAGCCTTCCAGGCCACTGCAGGAAGGGCGTCTTCCCTTTGGATCTGAGCCTTGCTGGACCTCCCTGCCACTGTCCAGGCAGATGCATGGCTTTGCCATTAGCGGCTGTCACTCTGGCTGTATGTTGTCCTGCTGTGTTTGTATATGCATCAGCCACCTCCTACGTGCGTGGTCTGAGGCACGCCTGGGGATGCTCCTGTGGTTTGAAGTGCTGCAGCAATGTGTGTGTGATGTTTGGTGCCTTCTGCAAAAAGCCTCCTCCATCCCTCTCCGTTTCCCTAGCCACTGCTTCAGAAGCCTGAGTAGGTGTGCAAGAGGAGTGTATCGCCATGGCTTTAAACACCCCAGTCTGGGCTTTGCTTCTCTCTGAGCTGGGAGCTGTGGAGCAGGGACATGGGTGCAACTGGGAAGGTGGGTTTGAACTGTTTCTTCTCTCCGTTCAAAAGGCCTGTGCGCTCGTGTGACTAAAGGGGCCTGCCACTGGATCTGTACTTTCTTTAAGGAAACACGATACACAGGTTCAAGTTTACATGCACAGTGTTAACTTCTTTTGATAAAGAAGAATAAAACTATTTTGTTACCATTTCCTTGGTGGTTGTATGTGTCCTGGGGGCCGGTGCCACTGTAGGCACATGGAGGGGGGACACCCATGCCTCTTACCCTGCAGTAACACTGCATCTAGTTGCATGTCCCCAGCTGCGGGGACTGGCACCCTAGGAGGCCCATGAGCAGCCTGGGCTCAAAGAAAACCACAGGGTGGTGCTGAGCAGCAGCACTTACAGTCCTGCTGCGCTTCTGCTATCATCCTCCGAAGTTCGTGGTGGGAGCTGAGCCCTCCTGCCCCTTGGGCCCTCACCTGAGCTGCCCCGTTGCTCACATGTGGTTGGTATGGGAGCATTTCCCAAGCAGGCATAGCCGCTGGGAACTGTGGGCTGGTCCTTGAGCACTGATGTTGCCTGCAAGCATTGAATGCTTGTCTTGGACCAGAATGATGGGAGCCAAGCTGGTGGTGGGAGTCACAGTGGCCAGTCTTTGGTTTTGGTAGTTGTGGTAGCTGGGGGCCAGCAGTGCTGTGTGCTGGGGGTCACAGCGAGTCGCTTCATGTGGCTGGTAAGAAGCGCTGCCATTTGGCCCCCATGGCTCTGGCACTGGATTTGGGAGCTCAGCTCAAGCCCTTCTCCCCGCTGGCTCCACCCATGCCAAATCCACCCTTGGTCCTGGGCAGCTCACTGCCACCCTGCTGCCTGTGCTGCCCGCTTCTGCTGAGAGACACCCTGTGACACCACTACCTTCAGTCTTTATTGGTATAAAAGCATTCAACCTACATTATGTCAAAAATGGGGACACCTGGTTTCATGACAGATGGCTCAAAATGGTAACATAGGGGTCATAAGTTAATGGTTGCAGTAAAAAGGCTCCCAGGAACTTCCTTTTCAGGAGAACAGTAACTTGAGTGATAATTTCAGAGATAAAAGCCCTGCAGGGAGGCCAAGCCGGGCTTGGACCTGCCAAAGCCTGGTGAGACCTCCTTGTGTGACTGTCCCCAGGGCAGGGTCCCTGCGGTGCAGTGCTCTTCCTGCCCCAGTGAGGAGCCTGGCAGGCAATGCCAGGAGCTCCTTGACGCAGCCCCAGCAGGGAAGGGGCAGGAGGAGCAGGACACATTCAGGATGTCGGGAGGGAAGGCAGCAGATCCCAGGGTGCAGGAGAGCCTGGGCCAACTTGGGGCTGGCCTCAAAACCGGAGCTGGCATCGTCCCCGCTCCTTGTATCACAAAGCCCCAGCTGACGGCTCTCCCTGGGCCAGCTGTGAGGCTACGAAGTCTGTTAAGGCACGAGTCAAATATCTGTAAACACCGGTGCCCTCCCAGGGAGGGTCTGGCAAGCGATTCAAGTAAGGGTGGAAGTGAGTGGTGGCTCCCCAGCTGTGCCACCCACGCGCCAGAGCCAGCAGCTCTTCAGCAGCGCTGGCAGACGGAGCATCCTTGGTCACCTCCTGGCCAGGGGCGGCTTCAGGGCTACCTTTGGGGGGACACCCCGCTGAGAGACCGAGGGGGGTGTCAGCGGGGGGCAAGAGAGGGCCGGTCCTGGCGGCCCCTCGCCATGGCACGGTGCTTTGCTCTTCAGTGCCGGGAGAGGCTTGCTGGGTGGCGGCGGCTTTGGCTTCGCCTGGCGGGAGGAGAGGAGAGACCCAAGTGCCTCGCCTGGGTGCCAAGGGGGGGACCCAGAGGGGGACAGGGGGCAGAGGAAGCGCCTTCCCTCCAAGTCACCTGGGCCACCCCATAGA